CCAGCAGTAACCTAACTGGGGAAACCATACAGTCACCAACTTTTTATTCAACCAAACAATGAACTTGAGAGAAGAAACAAAGTCAGGTTCATGTCTATGTGGTGGCTTGAGCGAGAATGGCCCCCATAGGCTCATATCTTTGAATACTTGGTTCCCAGTTGGTGGAAGTGTTTGGGAAAGATTGGAGGAGCTGCATCCCTGAATGTCACAGAGCTTTGAGATTTCAAAGACTCGTGATCCTCAGGGCTTGTTCTCTCTGTCATGGTTATGGGTCAAGATGTAAGCTATCAGCTGTTCCTTCATTCCTCCATCATGGTCTCTAACCCTCTGAAACCATAAGCCAAAACTGAGTGCTCTCTTTCATAAGTTGCCTTGATCATGATACTTCATCAATGCAAAAAAAAAAAAAACTAACAAAGACAGCCTGCCCTCACCAGTACTTTTATGAAAGAAGGGACATTTTTTTACCCCCACCCACCCAAACACTAAGGACAAAGCGTCAGAGTGATCTTTTTTTTTTTTTCAGAGTCTCATGTAGCCCAGGCTATCTTTGATCCTCCTGCCTCTACCTCCAAGTACCTGGGAACATTCACATTTGCCACCAGCAGGCGGGCAAACATGACCCTACTGCCTTCACGAAGCTGAATAAAAAAAGGCTCACCAAGTTGTCCTTCTTGTCCCTAGTTTGTCTGGCCCAGGTGACCCTCCATCACTTATCACTGCCCTGGGGTGACCAGATGACCCATTGAAGGTGTGACCCAGCAGTCTACAGAACAAACACACAGTTGTCCAAACTCCAAAGACATCTCGTGAGCTAGGTTTTATGGGAGCACACCTGTAAATCCAGCATGCTGGAGGCAGAGGTGGGAGGATCTCAAGCTTGAGGCTAGCGTGGATTGCCTTGGAGACCCCAAGATGTTGGAGATGCCAGAACTGTGGGATACTTCCCACAGAAGAGCAGCTAACAGGGAGTGGAACCAGCCCAGGAGAAAGAAGTGTGTCACAGTCAACAAAGCTGAATGGAGTTGGAGACATGAAGAATGCTTTTTTTTTTTTTTTCCCTATTTTCAATTTTCTTTTTACAAGAAGGGTTTCTCTGTATAACAGTTCTGGCTTTCCTGGAACTCACTTGGTAGACCAGGCTGGCCTCAAACTCACTGAGATCCGTCTGCTTCTGCCTCCCAAGCGCTGGAATTAAAGGTGTGCACTACCACCGCCTGGCCTGAAGAGCACTTTGACATTAGACATGGAGATTCAGAGTTTAGAGTTTGCCCAACTGGTTTTTGGTCTTGCTCTGGTCCAGTATTTCCTCACTATGCTCCCTCCCCTACATTTTGGAATGGTATATATGTGTCATATATTGAAAGTATGTGATCTGGTTTTTTGATTTTCATTTTATAGGGGATTACAGTTAAGAGATTGCATGATTCTCAATGTTCATGAATCTAAAGTTCAAAGGAGAGACTTTGAACTTTAGACTTGAAATAAGTTTGGGACTGTTAGAGACTATGGGGACTGTTGAAGTTGGACTGAATGCATTTTTGCATTATGATATGGATATGAGCCTTTGGGGCCCAGGGAGCAGAATGTGGTGGTTTGAAAGAAAATGATCCCCAGAGGGAGTGGCATTATTAGGAGTTGTGGCCTTGTTGGAGGAAGTGTGTCGCTGTGAGGGCGGGCTTTGAGTTCTCCTACGCCCAAGCTACTCCCAGTGTCTCCATCTACTTCCTGTTGCCTGTGTATCAACATGTATCAACTCCTTCTCCAGCACCATGTCTGCCTGCATGCCTCTATACTCCCCACCATGATGATAATAGATGAAACCTCTGAAACTCTAAGCCACCACCTCACTTAAATGTTTTCCTTTATAAGAGTTGTGGTCATGGTGTCTCTTCACAGCAACAGACACCCAAACTGAGACAAGATCCATCTCATTTTATGTGGGTTCTGGGTGTGGTACTCAGGTCCTCATGCTTTTAAGGCTATCGCCCCAGACCATTTGTCTGTGGCATGGCCTCATGTAGTCCAGGCTGGCCTCGAGCAGGCTATGCAGCCAAGGATGGTCTTTAAGTCCTAATCATTCTACCTTGTGCCACCAAGCCTGGCTTAGCCCTCCCAGTTTGATGTCCCAACAAGAGCAAGGACTTTAAAATACCTCTCTGATGTGGGATATTAGTTGAAGATGTGTTACATTTGCTTATGCTGTGGAACATTTGTTTAATGACGCGAAGACGTTTTTCATTCTCTTAGGTTTGCCTTTGTTTAACTCTGTGAAGCTGTGATTCTTTGCCTGTCTGAAACACCTGATGGTCTAATGAAGCACTAATCGGCCAATAGCAAGGCAGGAGAAAGGATAGACGGGGCTGGCAGGCAGAGAGAATCAACAGGAGGAGAAATCTGGGCGAACAAGAAGGCGCAAAATAGAACAAGGAGAGGAGGACATCAGGGGCCAGCCACCCAGCTACGCAGCAGGCCGTGGAGAAAGAAGCAAAGAAAGGAATATAGAAATAGAGAAAGATAAAAGCCCAGAGGCAAAAGACAGATGGGATAATTTAAGTTAAGAAAAGCTGGCTAGAAACAAGCCAAGCTTTGGCTTTAGCCAGGCATTTATAAGAAAGAATAAGACTCTGGGTGTGATTTATTTGGCAGCTGGGTGGTTCAACACTGCTCCCCACGGCTCAAAATAAAGCCAAAAGAGTAAAAAAAAAAAAAAAAGTAAAAACAACCAACAACACCTCTCTTCCCTCTTGAAGACTGGCCTGTGGATTCCAAGGGCCTGTCCTGAAATAGCACAGTTGACCAGCCACACTGTGTCCCGTCTTGCACCTCTCCTTCCCTGAGCTACAAGCCTTCCGGCACATTGTTGGAAAGCTGCAAGAGTTTATGATTTAAGGAGGAAATAAAAACTCAGATTTAATAGCTCCAAAGTATAATCCCTATTACATACACAGTGGAGTGGCCCGGGCGAAGATGTGCTATTCCGGGCTTCTGGAGCTGGTGACACACTCTCAGGCATCCTAGCTGTCCGCTGGGTTTGTGGACCAAAGCTCAACCAAGTGCAGCTGCCTGAGCCCAGGAGATCGGGCTAGCAAGGAGAAAATGGCTTCCGTTCTTACTGCTACAGACTTTGCCCGCTAGGAGGGAGGCCAAAGAAGCGTGGGGCAGAAGCAAACCCAGGGTTGATTGGAAGCTGCTGCTGCCACCACGTGATCAAAGACAGAGGCCCTCTGGTAAGAGACCAACGTCAAAACATGGTGGCCCATCCAAGAGAAGAAATAAGCCTGGCAAAGAATGTGGCCGGCTCTGTATTGGGCTCAGGAGTTTCAGGACCCTCTAGCTCAGCCATTCTCAACCTTCCTAATTCCGTGACCCTTTAATACAGGCTCTCATGGTGTGGTGACCCCCAACCATAAAGTTATTTTTGTTGGTACTACATTAGTGCAATTTTGCCACTCTTGGGAATCCAAGTGTAAATATCTGCTATTTCTGATGGTCTTAGGTGACCCCATGGGAAGGTCCTTCGAGCCTCAAAGTGGATGTGACCCACAGGTTGAGAACTACTGCTCTGGCTCACTCCAGGGAAGATGAGGGGGCCCAGAAGTACCTCTTCTCCAAAGTCAAAAGCTGGGTCCTCCAGTCCTCAAAGATACTTTTTACATTGGTCTAGCGGGGACAGCAAACAATAGATACTATTGTGGCATTGATGAGCTCATCAGGAAGCTCACAGTAAGAATTGCTTAGAAAGAAACCCTGCAGCCAGGTGTAGTAGAGCCTTTAATCCCAGCACACAGGAGGCAGAAGCAGGCAGATCTCTGAGTTCAAGGCCAGCCTTGGTCTACCGAGAAACCCCATCTCATAAGAATAATTAAAAAAAAAACCCTGCTGGGCGGTAGTGTCACAACCTTTAATCCCAGCACTTGAGAGGCAGAGACAGGTGGAGTTCTGTGAGTTCGAGGTCAGCGTGGTGGACAGAATGAGTCGTCCCTGGTTAGGCTCCAAAGGCTGCACTGAGAAACCCTATCTCGGAAAAACCAGGAAGAAAAGCCTCAGGATGTGTGGCTTAGCATTGATTTTATCTTAGAGTCTGTAGTAGCACTAACTTTTGCACCCTACAGTGCTCCATTCATAGAGTGTGTCTAGCATGCCGAAAGCCCTGGGCTCGATCTCCAGCACTTCATAAAGTAGGCTGAGCGGCACACACCTCTAACCCCAGCATTTGTAGTTGAGGCTTGGGTCACCCTCAACTACATGGCAAGACCGAGGTCAGCCCGGAATACATGAGCCTGTGTCTGAGAGAAAAGTTGGAGGGGGCAGGGATTTGAGCACCATTTGTCTAAGCTCAATTGCTAATTTTTTAAAATTTTATTCTTATGTTATGTGCATTGGTGTGAAGGTATCAGATCTCCTGGAACTGGAGTTACAGACAGTTGTGAGCTGCCATATGGGTGCTAGGTATTGAACCCAGGTCCTCTGGAAGAGCAGTCAGGGCTCTTAACCATTAAGCCATCTCTCCAGCACCCTCAGTCTCTAATTTTACATCTAAGGAATCTGAAGCTTGAGATGAGGAATGATCAGGATTGCCTGGTCCATCAATAAGTCAGGGGCAGAGTCAGAGGCCCAGAACCTAGCCCTTACCACGTGACTGACTCCACATCAAACTCACCCTCATACCCCCTGGGTACGTCTGAACATGAAGACTTTCTTTGCAAGTGGAGTAAATGTCTTGCCTGGGGTTCCCAAGCCAGCCTGGAGTCATTTTCATTCCCAAATGCGAATGCCAGTGTGGAGCCACCTGGCAGAATGTAAACACTGAAGCTTGTACCCTCTGTTCCACCCCCACCCAGGCTGTGCCTTGCTTCCAAGGTCTCTCCCAGCTTCCCAGCAGGTCCTAAATCTTTCCAGAGACACAGCCCAGCCATCCAGGCAAGGGGTGGGATGAGGGCGGGAGCAGGCAGCAACTCTGCCAAGGACCTAGCCTGCCCTGTAGGGAGGAGTTGGGAGTAGCGGCTGAGGGCTGGCAGCCTTGGGAGGCTTCCCTGCAAAGCTTGGAGGTCTGCTGGCTGCACACTGGACCTGAAGGACCCACAGACTCGCCGCGCTGTGCACACGTCTTAACTGGCACGTACCCTGAGTAGCATTAAGAGAGAGATGAATTCAAGTCCTGGCTGGTCACCAACTTCCTAAATGCCCACAGCTGGACACATCCTCATTCTGACTCTGGCTTGAAGGAGCGGAAACAACGGGTTATCAGGATGCCTCCTGTTCTGAGGTTGGAGTTTGGGGTCTCCATCTCCACAAGATGGTTGAACAGTCTGGCTGGAACCCTGTCTTCTGCTCGCCCTAACTCATTCCTGCTTGAGCCGTAGGTGTGGTCCTCTGACTACATGTGTCTGCTTTCCAATTGTCCACACCCCCGAATATCTACACACCAAAGAGGATTTCTCTCCCGTAGCAATTCCAGTACGAACTGCAGGGTCAGACCCTGTGTTCCCAGCCCAGAATCAGCCATGGGGGCCCATGCCATTGTCACTGACACCAGCATCTTATCTGGCCTCGAGAGCAACACCACGGGCATCACGGCCTTCTCCATGCCTGCCTGGCAGCTGGCACTGTGGGCCACAGCCTACCTGGCCCTGGTGCTGGTGGCTGTCACTGGCAACGCCACGGTCATCTGGATCATTCTGGCCCATGAGAGAATGCGCACGGTCACCAACTACTTCATCATCAACCTGGCCCTGGCAGACCTCTGCATGGCAGCCTTCAACGCCACCTTCAACTTCGTCTATGCCAGTCACAACATCTGGTACTTCGGTCGCGCCTTCTGCTATTTCCAGAACCTCTTTCCCATCACAGCCATATTCGTCAGCATCTACTCCATGACTGCCATCGCCGCTGACAGGCAAGAGCGGGCACCGGGGAAGGGGGTGGGTGTCTTGGTGGAGCGCTCAGAGGATTGCCTCCTAGACCTGGTTTGGGTTCATAGCAAAGAGACAAGGGGATGCGGAGCCAAAGCGGGGAGAGTGGAGATTAGACACAGAATGACTTCACCCTAGGAGCTTGCACAAGGTGGGAAGGGAGGATGTTCCTGGCAACTTTTGAAGTGTGATTCTTCTTATCTTACTGTCTTTATACAAGGAAATGGTGCAGATTGTTTTTGTATTTGGAAAAAAGTTGAATATTGCGTGGGGTTAGAGAGCTGCCTTTAGTTAGATCTATGCTTTGTGTGGGGGGGGGGAGATGTTGCTAATGTGTGTGTGGAAGGGTACCAGCCTTTGAGAAATGGGCCTAGGGTGGGGGGGGAAGAAGTAGCACTGAGACCTTCTGGGGCAGGCAGGCTGGGGTAAAAGAGGACTCAACTGCCTGGGGGAGCGGGAATCTGACAGCCAGTGTGATGAGATGATTCAAAGACCGAGGAAGTCCAGGAGACGGAGACAGAGCTATGAGACCCTCAGACAAAGAGTACCGATTACAATGACTGGGTAGATGTGAGCTTCCCTTTCTTCCCTCATCCCCCGCCGCTCCCCAACTTCCCCAGCAACCTTCCCCCCACGGCCTCTCACCGCTGAGCTATCGATGGTTTTCTGTGGGTTTCTCTGGGGATTTCCTTTGAGGCAATGTTTTCAAAACATTTTTTTTTCTTTGACAATGTTTTCTACTCATTAAAAATGAGAAGTTTTGGGCTGTGGTTGTAGCTCCGTTGGCAGCGTGCTTGCTTAGTGTGTTCATGGCTGTGATCCCCGGCATTGCATAAATCAGATATAAGATGGGGGTGCATGCCACCACCTGTAATTCCCACACTCGGAGGTAGCAGAAGGAGGGCCAGAGGCCCAAGATCATCCTAAGCTACAAAGACAGTTCTCTCTCTTTCTCTCTCTCTCTCTCTCTCTCTCTCTCTCTCTCTCTCTCTCACACACACACACACACACACACATACATACACACACACACACACAAAAAAAATTTGAATACCATTCATATAGGTTCAGCTTCTGTCTTTACACCCAAGGGAACTGGGGAATCAGGATAAGTGGGGCTACTTAAGGTCAGCCAGTGAGTCAGGGCAGTGCCTGCCCTCTGGGCAGTGGGTTCAGGAGAAGTCTTTCCAAATTGGGCTGGTGCCTGCTGGACATCCCTTCTTCTTCCCTGGGCATGTCTGAATGTCCCCTAAGTATTTCTTCTGTCATGCAGCAAATTTGGGGTGCTTCTTCTGTATTGGGCACAGTTCCAGGTTTGGGGGAACCTTCACTGAGAGGGGAAAAAACAATTTTAGCACATGAGGTCTTAGAGCCTCCACTTCAGAGAGAGGCTGGACTACAGAAAGCCAGGTGGAAGCCTGGGAGCCTGGAAGGCAAGGAGGAGGCGAATGGCCGGTGGCAGAGCAGGGGCTCTGAGCAAGCTGAGACTCGCAATTCCTTTCTCCACACCTTTTTAATATTTTTATCATGTTGGCTTGTTTGCTTGTTTGGTGTGTGTGTGTGTGTGTGTGTGTGTGTGTTTATGTGAGTGTGTGTGTATGTGCGTGCACGCACGTGCTAGCATGCATACTTCTTACGATACCCCTGGGAAGGTCAGAGGACAACTTGTAGAACTCAGTTTTTTCCTTCTACCTTCTGTGGGTTCTAGGGATTGAACTCAGGTCCTCAGGCTTCACAACAAGTCCCTTTACCTACTGAGCCCTCTCATTGGCCCCCTTTCTCCCTTTCTTCACTCAGTGTGTGCCATGTAAGTATTGTTCTGGGGTTTAGGTGGAGGAAACCCATGGAAATGTTCCTGCTAGGGTAAGAATTTAAATCCTAAACACATGAACAAATAAACTTTAATTGTATTTTGAGATCATGAGTGTTGCAAACAAATATTGGCTAGAGGGGACTCTCTAGGCACCAAGATGTGCTGGGAGGAACAGTCTACACTCAGTGGTTCTCAACCTTCCTAATGCTGCAACCCTTTAATACAGTTCCCCATGTTGTGGTGACCCCCTAACCATAAAATTATTTTTGCTGCTGATTCATAACTATGATTTTGCTACTGTTATGAATTGTAAATATTTTTAGAGAAAGAGGTTTGTCAAAGGGGTCAAGACCCACAGGTTGGGAACCACTGGGTTACGGGCTTAAATGAACATGGATGGACCCATTGGGAGGTTGGGACCCGAGCAACAATGAGTAGATCAGGGCAGCCTAGAGAATTCTAGAGACAAACATTCCAAGCAGTGAATAAGGTGGTAAGGTTCTCAGGGCGTAGTCTTAACTCCCAGGATGCTCCAGTGTGGACTCCTCTATTTCAACAAACGGGAAACAAGCAGCTCAATGCCACAGTCTACAGTTTGGACCTTGTCTCAAAGCTCGGACTCTTCCTAGAGAGGGAGGGCCAGACATTGCCCGCCAAAGCCCTCTCTGATGAATTCAAAACAATGAATCCATAGGACTGGTCTCTCTCCTGTACGCATATGCCCCTTCCTCCATACAACACCCCACGTGCAAGAATGACCCCATTTTCATGAAGCTGGAAATGGAAGGTTCAGAGAGATAATGCTCTTTGTTCAAGAGCTTGTCAGGAAGTAGTGGAGACAGGATTCGAACCCAGATCAGCCGGATTCTAAACTCCCAGGACCTTACCCTCTGCTAATGGAGCATGAGCCATCCTATACCTGGCCCTCATATTAAAATCTTTTTCTAGACCAGGGGTGGGGGCACACGTCTTTAATCCCAGCACTCAGGAGGCAGAGGCAGCTCTGCTGGTGAAGAACTGGCAGTGTGAGCATGAATACCTGAATTCCATCCATACTAGCACAAACTTGTAATCCCAGAGCAGGAGAGGTTAGAGATGGGAGGATTCCCAGTGCACTGACGGACAGTCAGTGTCTCAGGTAGGGTTCCCATTGCTGTGAAGAGACACTATGTCCATGCCAACTCTATAAGGAAACCGCTTAATTGCGGTGACGGCTAACAGTTTCAGAGGTTCAGTCCATTATCATAGTAGGCTGTTGGGGAATATTATTTTCGTGTGTGTGACTTTTGTTTACGCTGCGTTTGTTTAACCCTGTTAAACAAACAGGAGCTGCGTTACTGTGCCTGTCTAAAACACCTGATGGTCCTAATAAAGAGATGAACAGCCAATAGCGAGGCAGGAGTGAGGGTAGGTGGGGCTGGTAGACAGAAAGGATAAACTGAAGAAGACCCCAGAACAAAGAGAGGAGGATGCCAGGGATCAGTAACACAACAGGCTACGGAGAAAGAAGCAAAGAAAGGTATACAGAAATCGAGAAAGATAAAAACCCAGAGGCAAAAGATAGTCATGTTAACTTAAGGTGAAGAAAAGCTGGCAAGAAACAAGCCAAGCTTAGGCCGGGCATTCATGACTAAGAATAAGCCTCCTTGTGTGATTTATCTGGGAACTTGGGTGGTGGGCCTCTCAAAAAGCCAAAAGAGTAAAACATTCCGCAACAGTGGGGAGCATGGCGGTTGGGAATATGGCAGTGTGCAGGCAGATATGGTCCTGGAGAAGGAGCTGAGGGTTCTACACCTTGATCCAAAGGCAACAGGAAGTGAACTGGTGTGTGGCTTGAACATATATGAACATACCTGAGACCTCAAAATCACACTTCCTCCAACAAGGCCACACCTACTCTAACAAAGCCACACCTCCCAATAGCACCACTCCCTGTGAGTTTATGGGGATCAATTACATTCAAATTACCACAGTCAGCCTAGCCAAACTAGTGAGTTCCAAACAATAAAGAGACCCTGTCTCAAAAATCAAGGTAGATAGTATCTTGAGGAAAAAAAAAAACCCAAGGTTGGTCTCTGGACTCTATACAGTATACACACCTGTACAAATGCCGGCATGAAGACAAATATTCCAACTTGGCATGGTGGTGCACAGCTCAGCACTTGGGAGGTAGAGATGAAAGAATCAGAAATTCAAGGCTATCCTCAGCTACATAGAGAGTATGAGATCAGCCTGGGCTACATGAGACCCTGCCTCAAAATTCAAATGAACTGCTGGGCATGGTGGTGTATGCCTTTGATCCAAGCACTCAAGAGGCAGAAGCAAGCAAATCTATGTGAGTTGGAGGCCAGTCAGGGCTATGTAGCAAGATCACGTTTCAAAAAGAAATAAGCTAATCTTATTGTAATAAAGAGTCTGTGTTCTTCATTGTGACACCTGGAGTCACCAATCTAATCCGGCCCTGATCTCTGCGGAAAGGGAACCAAGCCTTAGGTTAGGGTGTATATTAGGAGGATGGGTTTCAGCCTTGGAGAATGGTGCCTTTGGGTCCTCTAGCGTTTGAGAAACGGTGAGCCTTCCTCAGTTGGGCCCTAGGCTGATGGCGCCGGAGCCCCCACTAAGTCCAGGGTGCTCCCTGTGCGGGTCCTGAAGGAACAGAGGACAGAGCAATTCGGGAGTAGACAGCAGAGACCAACCGGGATTCCAAGTCAGCGTTGCTCTGTCTCCAGATGTGGAAAATGGAGATGACGCGCACCGTCCAGGTCACTGCACTTCACCAGGCACAGGGCTCAACCGCAACTCAAGTCCCTGTGGTGTCCTGCAGAGAGCCAGCAGCTGAGCCTGTTCTAGACAGCTTCATCAAGAAGGTGGTCTATGACGTCAGCAAGTGCAGGCAGGAAGGAGCAGCTTCAGAAGGGGAGGGGAGGAAAGCCCCCTTGCGGGCTCTTCCAGGGCATCTCTGTTAAGGTTTCCATTGCCGTCATAAAGAATCAAGACCAAAAGCAACTTGGGGAGGAAGGACTTATCTCATTTTCTGCTTCCAGGTAACAGTTCGCGAGGAAGTCAGGGCAGGAACCTGGAGGCAGGAACTGTAGCAGAAGCCATAGAGAAACGTTACTTACTGGCTTGCTTCCTGTGCTATAGCATGAATACTAACAGGTATTAATAGTAGAAACTCAGAGTCAGATATTAGGGACAAAAGCTGAGAGATCAGAGAAGCAGAACAACCAGCCACTAGGGAGTTCTCACCTCTACCAAGGCTCAGATGGAAAGGGTGATCCTGTCCTCAGACTGTGCTCTCTGACTGACTGCCTAGACTGTACTGAACTGAGCTCCTGTCTTCTCATTTTATTTCTCTCTTTGCCCAGCCATATCACCCCTGTCTCCGCCCCCTAAGCGCTGTGATCACCTTTGTGTGAGTTCTGTTTCTTATTTAGACAGATTCACCCTTTACGTAGCCCAGGGTGGCTTTCAGAGCCCTGGGATTAAAGGTGTGAGCCACCACTCCCTGGCCTCTAGTGGCTTAGCTCTGCGCTCTGATCTTCAGGCAAGCTTTATTTCTTAAAACACAAACAAAGTATCACCACACTGTGCCTGGTTCAGCCTGCTCTCTTACACAGCACGGAACTGCCTAATCACGGGTGACACCATGAGCTTGCCCCCAATCCAGCATCAAACATTCATCAAAAAAATGTCCCCCAGGCTTGCTCACAGGGCAGTCTGGTGGGGGCACTTTCTCAACTGAGGTTCCTTCTTTTCAAATGACTTTAGCTGTGTCAGGTGGAACAAACAAACAACAACAAAAACTAACTAAGACACAGGGAAAACTGAGAGTGGACTGAACCAAGCATTGGCAATTTTCAGAGTCTAAAGCAATGGTTCTCAGTCTTCCTAGTGTGGCAACCTTTTAATACAGTTCCTCATTTTATGGTGACCCCCCAACCATAAAATTATCTTTGTTGCTACTTCATAACTATAATTTTGCCACTGTTATGAATTGTGATGGAAATATCTGATATGCACAATATCTGATGTGTGACCCCTGTGGGGGTCGTGACCCTCAGGTCGAGAACTGCTGGAAATATTTGTACCTGTAGGATTCAGCTTGTGCCTGGACAAGTATACAGAACGGGTTCAGGTGGTAGAATGCATGCCTAGTGGCTTGAAGTCTTGGGTTCTTTCCCCAGTGCTGCATAAACCAAGCATGGCAATACATATCTGTAATGCACTACACTCAAGAGGATTGGGAGTTCAAGGTTATCCTCAGCTTCCTAGCAAGTTCAAGGCCAGCCTGGGCTACAGGAGACTTTGTCTCAAAGAAAAATAAAATGTTTGCTCATCCACAGACACAATTGTCTGTGTTCTATGGCACATACAGTGAGTGGTCACTGAACGGGACCCTGCGTGTGTGTCAGATACAGCTACTGCTGCAGAAAGTTCCAGAGGGCATCACTGGTTTGGTTTTTGTCTGGGAAATGGTTGTACCATAAAGGGTGGTGGGAAGTTGGCTTCGGGACGAGGACACATACAGCCAAGTCAGGCTGAGCTTCAGGCTAGTGCTGGACTGGACTCTGCTCTGGGTTGGATCACAGTCTGACTGTGCAAGGGCCTGTCCACATCCAGAGGGAGGCAGTGGAGTGGCTGCCTGGGCTAGATTCTGGGGTACTAGCGTGCTATGGCTGGAGACAGTCACCACCTCCCCAGCACCACCTCTGCAGATGGGGTGGAACTCCAGCATCTGCCTACAGGGCGGCTGTGTGAACAGAGAGACATGGGGCTGAACCACAAGATAAGGGGAGGATGTCAGCTGATGGTGTGATCTGCTTGTAGGTACATGGCCATCGTCCACCCCTTCCAGCCGCGGCTCTCAGCCCCCAGCACCAAGGCGGTTATCGCTGGCATCTGGCTGGTAGCCCTGGCTCTCGCCTCTCCCCAGTGCTTCTACTCCACCATCACTGTGGACCAGGGGGCCACCAAGTGTGTGGTGGCCTGGCCCAATGACAACGGAGACAAGATGCTTCTTCTGTAAGCCCCACGCCAGGGATGAGGGTGGGCGTTACATGTGCTTGTATGTTGGCTCATGTCTGTGTGTAGCGTGTGCCTAGGGATATTCACACTATTCTGCAGGTGTATGTGTGATCATATGAGTTTGGGTTTATCCTGAAGCTCCTTGACTGCCAGCAAGAGACTGGAGGTGTGGCTTAGCGGTATAGGGGTGTGGCTTAGTGGTAGAAGGCTTATCTTGCATCCAGGGATACCTTAAATTCAATCCCCAGGACCACACAAGAGAGAGGCAGGAGGATCATAAATTCAAGGTCATCCTCAGCTACGTGGCAGGCTCAAGACAAGCATAGCCTATATAAGGCTATTTTTTTAAAAATAAAATAAAACAAACCAAAACAAAGCTAACAGTGAGGCTGCACCACAACAAACCATTGTAGGTGGAAAATACCCAGTGTCAAGTGTGGGTAATGCCCTCACAACTGTGACCTGGTGGCTAACTAGGGGTGACACTCACTGCCACTGCCCAGTTTCTTCATAGAAAATCAAATGGAAAGGTGGGAATTGAAGGTGTGGTTTCTGCTGAATGTGTGTTTTAGTTCCATCACCAGACAGTCAAGGTCACTGAATCAAAACATCAAGTTGGGGACCATTTATATGAAAAGCAATGCCAAGTACCAGGCCTGTTAGAAGCATTTCGTATATACTGATACTGTTAATTCTCCCAGTGTTATGGAGCAAATATGGTTAATATTTTATTTATTTAATTTTAAGCAGTGCTGACCTTGATGTCACCACACCTGCTTCATGTGGTACAGGGGATGCAAGGGCCCGTGTGTGCTAGGTTAGCATCCTATCAGCTAAGCTAAATTCCCCTGACACCACTTATTCTGTTTTTTTTTGTTGTTGTTGCTGCTGTTTTGTTTTTGTTTTTTTGTTTTCCGGACAGCCTCCTGTAGCCTAGACTGGCCTGGAACTCTGATCCTCTGGCCTCCATCTCGCAAGTCACCATGACCACTATACATATAGTAGTCTTCCATCTTGGTGGTAGAGAAACTGTATTACGTGATGTGCCCCAGACAACACAGCGAACGGGAAAACAGGGGAACCAAATGTGAGCAAAACTACCTCGGAGCCCAATTGCTCAGCCTGCCTGCCACCTCACTCAGGATGAACATGGACCATGTGCGTCTGCAGATGGAGTGCGTGGCTCTGCATGTCACACACGTGCTGTCACTGGTGTCTGTAGGCAGGCTAGTGTTAGATGTGTTTGTGGAGTCTGTATGGAAGTCAATGCCAGGTAGCTATTAACCTCAGGAGGTGGAGGCTAGTGATCTAGAGCAAGGTCAGCTGGACAAGCCACGTCAGAGAGCTCTCCAAGGGAGAGACCTTGCAGAGAGGAATCAAGGAAGATATTCCATGTCAGCCTCTGGCTTGCACACATACACACACATGCATATACACATATATACAACATATGCATACTCTCATGCATAACCCCACACATGTACCTACTCACATACAGTTGCATACATGCACACACATGCATACATGCCCCCCTACATACTCATTGTTTAAGGAAGAAGTCACATGGTGGAAGGGAGCTATCAGACCCATTCTTTGTTGCTTCAAGGGCCACCACCCACCCCAACCTGCCTGGGAGTCAGGGGAACTGTGGCTTATTCAGGAGATCCTGACACCCTCAGAAATGGAGCCAGTGACACGCCTCTGGCATAGTGGCTTCCTCAGAGGAAATGGTGAGCTTCAGTACAACCCAGGAATCGTCCCTGGGGACTCAGAAGTGCAGTGCTGGCTGGGTCTGGCTCAAAGGTCTTTGCCGCCGCCTCCACATACCCAGGCAATGTTGAGGAGCGGGATGCAGAGGACATGGCAGCTATCAGGGTGGCAGTCTTTGCTGCTCATCTCTGAATAAGGCTTTTGGTATAGGGTGGCTCCTGAATTATCACATATGCTCTGCCTACTTAATCTATGTACCTATTCACATGTACACATGTTCATTCCTGCACTCACCACATAGCTATACACACACAGGTGATTCTGGGAGGAAACATACATTGTGAATGGGGTGGGAGGGTTAACCTTTGTGCTTGATGGTATTTGTGTGAAAAAGGGTCTCATATAGCGCAGCCTGGCCTCTGATTCGCTGTGTACAGAGTAATAACCTTAAACTCCTCATCTTCCTGCTTCCATACCTGTGCTATTGGAATTTCAGGCATGTGCCAGAACTTTTTATATATTGCAAGGTTACTTTTTTAGTTCATGGGCGCGGCGTGGGGAACAATTTGTGCGCTCTACGGCCACCCTCTCATCTACACGTGGCTTCCAGGGATCCAGCGCAGGTCATCATCGGGCTTGGCAGCAAGCCTGGATTCCCGCAGAGCCGTCTCCCCGGCGCCGGTGTTATATTTTATACGTTAAACAAACGTAGAATTTTGTTAGCTTCTCCCTTTTTTTCCACCCTTTTTAGCCTTTTCTGTAACACAGAAGACCTGGGGCTGATGCCGGTAACTTTTTGTGAGAAAAGTCCCTCTTTGGCACATATACTAGCCAATGTTGCTTAATTTTTCTTTAAATCGAACAAAACCGAGGGTGGGGTCCGTGGGGTTCAAGGACCTTAAGCTTGGGCGAGCCTGGGTGGATCTGGCCGCCTGCTGCACACCCAGGTCCATGACTCTCCCTCCAGGTATCATTTGGTGGTGTTTGTCCTCATCTACTTCCTACCCCTCGTGGTAATGTTCGTGGCTTACAGCGTCATCGGCCTCACACTGTGGAAACGCGCGGTCCCCAGACACCAGGCTCACGGCGCCAACCTGCGCCATCTGCAGGCCAAGAAGAAGGTGAGACGGTGATCGGAGGGGGCGGGGCCTGCTCCGGGAGTCACCTGGGCCCCGAAGCCTGCCCGCTAGGGGGCAGTGGGGAGCACACAATCCAGATCACTCAGCGGTTCAGAGGGCCCATATAGGAACTACAGACCTCTGTCGTCTGGAGACAATGCTAGACGGACTTCGTGTTCTAAAAGTTTCACCATAGCAAGCAGGGAGGTACTTAGGGCACTACACGGGTGTCCCTTCCACTGGGAAGTTGGTCTCCAGTTGCAATCTCCAACTTGCCTTCTGATCCTCACGGGTGCTGGACAATGAGGAGTGTGCCTGCAGATGCCAGGCAAGTGAGGTGCCGGGAAGGGCTCAGGAACCTGACCTCTAGGGAGAGGATGGGGTTTCAGGTTGGAACATCACCGCCTACATAGAAGGGCTAAAGTAGACAAAGATCCCAGGAAAGGGTGGCTGGGGTCCCAGAGCTTTGACCTCCTAAGAGAGGGCACAGGATGGAGAGGTGCCCCATGGGAAAGAATCCTGGGAGAGTGGACCGCAGAACGGGGCTGCTAGACTTGAGGATTTCAATGGAAGGACAGCAGTGAGCGCAGACAACCTAGCCTGTGGGAAAGCCATGAGGTGGTGGACTCCGGAGCGTGCGGCAAATACACCTTCCAGGGGATGGAGGGCAGAGAGGTAGAGCGGATCTGACTACAGAAGGTTGTCAAGGTCAGGGTGAAGGGTACCCTGCGCTGTTTCCAGGAGGGATGACTTGGGACTGAGGGGCCAAGGACTGACCTGAGCCTCTCCCTGACCAGTTTGTGAAGGCCATGGTACTGGTGGTGCTGACATTTGCCATCTGCTGGCTGCCCTACCACCTCTACTTCATCCTGGGCAGCTTCCAAAAGGACATCTACTACCGCAAGTTCATCCAGCATGTCTACCTGGCCCTCTTCTGGCTAGCCATGAGCTCCACCATGTACAATCCCATCATTTACTGCTGCCTCAACCACAGGTGAGTGTCACCCCGGCTCTGCCCCTTTACCCTCCTGGACTCTCCCTCTTGGGGAGGGCCCTCCACTCTAGCTCCTGCCAGAACCAAGAGCTGTCCCTCATCCCACATAGGAATGCCGCTCTTCAGGTCAGCCCACAGCACAACAATCCCTGTGGCCTGGATCTAGCCTGAGTCCCATCTCCTTCCCAAAGCCTTGTCCTTTGCTGAGCCACGGTGCCTGTGTTCTTCTCTGTCCTTCTGTCTCTTCTGGGGTCTGCATCAGGGACAAGGGAGAGGGCAGAAGTCAGGCTCAGAGAGATGGAGGGAAGGAGAGGCAGAAGGACAGAATGGAAGGAAGAAAGAGCCAGGACAAAAAGGAAGCGCTGCCTCTGAGCCAGCTTTTTTTCTTTTTAATGTTGTGTGTGTGCCTGTGTGCAGATGAGTGTACATCATGGCACATGTCGGGGTGGGGGTCAGAGGACAATTGCAGTAGCTACCTCTCTCTTTCTACCATGTGGGTTTCTGCAATAGAACTCGGCTTGCTAGACTTGGCAGCACATGCCTCTCCCCACTGTACCATCTCACCAGCTCAAAGAGCGAGCATTTCTAAGAGCTTCATCCTAAGGATGCGCCTGGTGTAGGTGGGCAGGTTGTCTAAAGAGGCTGGGGGCTGGGCTGGGGAATCACAGTGTAAAGTTCTTGCCACCCCATCCCCCAGGATGTGACCAGGGAAGGAGGGGCTGGGATCTTAGCTTACTCCTGCCCCTGGTGCTCCTAAGGTCCTAGAGTCTGGGATATGCTGGCACCTGGTCTGAGTCTCTTAGAAATGGAAGAGGTGGTAAGTCAGACAGAATCCAAGTCCCAGGAGTCCTGTGCACAGAATGAGCCTTCCATCCTGGGAGGGGGCAGGCAAAAGGGCATGAGAGGTAGACACTGAGTCAGCTCAGACTGCTGGATGGATGTGAGCACCACTGACCCCGGGGCCTCTCTGTTCATAACTTTTATCAGCCGTCTACGCAGGTGCCCAGGCTCCCACTGAGGTCTTCATTGCTCAGTTGATCCACTCACCTGGTGCAGGCTCTATGCGTGCTTACAAGGTGCCTAGAATCTTTAGCTCCCAAGAGTTAAGTAGATAAGAGAGGAAAAGGAGTCTCCCATTATACAGATAGAGAAACTGAGCCTAAGAAGGGCAGATGCTCCTAATCCCTGTGCAGGCAATGGCTCCAGGATTTGGAGTTTCGTGCATCTCCAATGCTTCCCCCTCATGCATCTTGTTCATGAGATGGATGTGAGAACCTGGAGAATGCCCTGTCTTATCAGGGAGAGACCCCCGCAGCACCCCATGCCTGTGTGAATGTCACTCTCTTGTGTCCCGGTCACGCCCGATGTTGGGACACGGCACTGTATTCAGTTCTGCAAGCTCCTGAAGTGGCTTCTGTGACATTCTGTGACGACATTATCACAGAGATCTGGTGTTCCGGTCTGGCCTCTCCGCTCAGGAAACCCTCACCAAGTGGCTCCATGTGCCCAGTACTTTTCCAGCACCAGGAATTGAGGAGTGAACAGAAGCAAAGATTTTTTTTTCTTTTGCAAAAGTCGACGGTCTAGACATCACGTAGCATGCAAACGTAATGTGTGAGTGTGGGCAGGATGTGCCGGCGGACTTCGCCACTGGGCGGAGCGGGTGCAGCTTACACTGGAGCAAAAGCTGGAGTGACTGACTCTGCCCGGCAGCCTGAGCAAGAATTCCATGCAGAAGGAACAGCCAAACCAACAGCCCTGAGGTCAAGGTCAGCGCTTGGTCGGGTGCTTCAGCTGGGAGAGTTCTACCTACAAGGCTTTGAGGCAAAGAGATCTGGGAGACAGGTGCTCTGCTTTACCTTTCAAAAGAACCAGCCCTGGGGGCCGGACAAGTGGCTCAGTGGTTAAGAGCTCTGACTGCTGTTGTTTTATCGAAATTTATATCTTATGATTTTTTACTAATAAAGACTTGGGGTCAGAGGCTAGGGGGAAATCTTGCTAGCTCAGAGAGGTTGTGGAGCAACTAGCTGACCTTCCTCCTTAGCTGGAGCCTCAGAAAGAGTGCTCCTTTTCCTCTATTCCAAACCAAAAGGGACCACCAAATTCAAAGTCCCTCCCCTCTACTTCCTGTCAACTAGTGGCTGGCTCCGGCCCTTGACCTAAGGTAGATTTTATCTTATTAATGCAATCTCAGGGTTCACAGTGTAATCAAGTATCCCATAACAGGCTGCCCTTCCAGAGAACCCAGGTTTAAATCCCAGCACCCACGTGGTAGGTCACAACTATCTATGACTCTAATCCCAAGGGATCTAGAACCTCCTTCTGGCTACCTTGGGCATTGCATGCGCATGTCACTCAGGCATACATGCAGGCAAAACACCCACATGCATTAAGAAAAAAAAAATCAGCCCAAAGCAGGAGATGTGGTATGGTTGATGAAGTGCTAGCCTGGCCAGCATGAGGCTCTGGGTTCAATCGACAGCACTCCATAAACTGGGCCTAGTGGGGTGCACGTGCAACCTGAGCACTTTGGAGATAGAAGGATCAAAATTTCAAAGTCATTCTCGGCTGCCTAGGCGTCAGTGTCACCATGGGAAAGGTGTCTTTTGGTTTGGTTTGTTTTTTTCCCCAACTATTTGTTTTTCTCCAACATCCAAGGCCTCATTCTACTTATTTTGAGGCAGGCCAAGCTACCTAGGCTAGCCTCGGACCTTCCTTGAGCTCCCCTCCTCCTTTCTTATTCTCTGGAGTATCCGTGATTACAGGCCCACACCCAGGCTTGAGGGAGAGCTGTTTATTTCTCTGAGCAAGTGTACCCATACTTGGTAGCGCCAATGTGCCAGTTTTCCTTAGAGGCTGCCCCTGGAGGGGGGTGGGCGGTGTCCCTGTGCCACACACACGGCCAGAGCTCAATTCTTTTTCTTCTTCTTCTTCTCTTTATTTCTAAGACTCCTCTTTGATTCTCCGTTAGAAGTCAGTTAGATCACCTGGTTTCTTTGTACTATACTTTGGTTCTCTCTCTTCTCTCTTCTCTTCTCCTCCTTCCCTCTCTCTCCCTCCATCCTTTCCTTCCTTTCAAAGCAGGGTACCACTTCCTACCTTGGAGCTTTGCTGCCATCCTCCCTGCTCCTGCCTTGAATGTGCATGTCCTCCGTGTTTCTGGCTGTTCCAAAAGACTAAATCCATTCAAGTGTGCGTCTCTCTAGAGCCCTGACTTGTTGGTCTCTTCAGAGTGAGGCATCTCTGCCAGGGAGCTAATCTACTTGGGGGCGTGGAGCAGCCGTGTAGCAGACGGCTCCTGCGCCCCTGCCTCCCTTGCTTAAAGAGACTCTCCACACCCCTCAGGTTTCGCTCTGGATTCAGACTTGCTTTCCGGTGCTGCCCCTGGGTGACACCGACGGAGGAAGACCGACTGGAGCTGACTCACACGCCATCGCTGTCAAGGAGAGTCAACAGGTGTCACACGAAAGAGACCTTGTTCATGACTGCTGACATGACCCACTCCGAGGCTACCAACGGGCAGGTTGGGAGTCCCCATGCAGGGGAAACTGCTGGACTCTGAGGTCTTGAGCCTGTCTGCAGGGCCAGGCTTAGCCCCTTTGAGAAGCAGGTGATAGAAAAAACCCCAGTGTCATAGCTTGTCCGACACTCTATTCTTCAACACACTAATAGAAAAACAAGATGGTGCCTGGACCTCCACAGGCAACGCTAATACAAAGATCTCAGAGCTCACACACCCACCTTAAGCATTCCAGGGTTGGAGGAAGGAGCCAAGAAGACTGGGAGCCAACATTTGACCAATCTGGGAGCTGCAAAGTGAAATTTTTCCCTGGAGTATAAAGAAGGGTGGGAAAAAACTGGATCCTATTACAGATAGCTGCAGTTGTCATGAGAAGAGGCTGTTGAAGGGATGACAAGATGGCTCAGTGAGATGCTATAGGCACTCGCTGCTAAGCCTGGTGACCTGAGTTCAATTCCTTGATCCCACGTGGAAGGAAAGAAGCAAAAACTGCAAGTTGTCCTCTGACCTCCCCAAGTGTGTATGTGTACATGTGCATGCACGCGCACACACGCGCGCGCGCGCACACACACAATGTTAAAAAAGATAAAGGGGGCATCCTTGCTGGGCAGTGGTGGCGCACACCTTTAATCCCAGCACTCAGGAGGCAAAGGCACACAGATCTCTGTGAGTTTGAGGCCAGAATGGTCTACAGATTGAGTCCTATGTCAACCAGGGCTACACAGAGAAACCCTGTCTTGAAAAAAGAAAAAAAAGGGGGGGGTGGCATTCAGTGTTAGGGTCACAGGAAAAGGTGGGGACTGTGGCAGCCTGAAAGGACAAGGCCCCACAAGGCAACTTAGCTGCTTCACGCTGGACCACTGTTGCCAGATGTTTCAAATAAAGCCTGAAATCCAAATTAACATATGGAAGCTCCAGGCTTCTAAACATGATTCATGAAAATGCTTAGAAATGCTAGCTAAGCCAAACAATGCAGGGCACAGCTGAAGGGACCCTAGCAGCCCCCGCATGGCAACCATGGCTCTGGCAGGCCTGGCTCTTCCACTGTCTGCCCTCCTCCCTTGTTAAAAACCATAAGATTACATCCCGAGCGCTAGCCGTCAAGGTCTACCCCCTTACTTGGCTACTTCCTCCTCCTGAGGCTGACCACCAAGGTCCAGCTAGCAAAGTATTGAAGTCCAGCAATCACAAGCCCCTTTTGGCTGACCTAATTAACATGCCCCCCCAAATTAAACATTTCATCCTAACATGGGGTTTCCCCCTTTTACCTTTATAAACTGCCATTTACCTGGGGACCATGTCTGTCTCCTCTCTCTCCAGAGACAGTCCTCTGCCCCTCTGGATCAAATACCCCTTCCCCCTCCCCCTTGTTCCCTTCCCCTTCTCCCCCAACCTCTATCTCCTGTTTTTGTCTCTTAATCCCTACCCTTTGGCCTCTTGGGCAAATAAATTTCCTTTTGGCTGAGAATTTGGGTCTGGGGTGTTTTGTGCCGACTCCAGTCCTTTGAACAACCATGGTACAGACTCCTTGCCAAAGACAGGACACGTAGGAGGAAGTTCTTCCTTTGGCTGTGGGTGGGTCTAGGGCTTCTCTGCCTTAGGATTTAGCAACTCAAACACAAGCCCAGAGTAGACGGTGGTTAATAGTCCAAAGGAACCTCAGCTGAGATGCTTGGGTAAGTCACTCTGCCCCTCTGCCTGATGGCAGGATTGCCATGAGGCTCTCTGGAAGTGATGCCTACAAACCTGCAGGCCGTACTCAGATTAGCGCTCAATAAATAGTAACCACGATTCCTCACACCGTGCCAGCTGTTAAGACACAAAAGCCACCCACAAGTCAGGAACACAATTCCCACCCTCACTTCCGGCAGCAAGGAGCTGGCAGGCAGAGGACACTGACTGTCCCAATTCTAAGAAGGCATCAGACCTGGTTCAGGCCTCTCCAGGGCTGTACATCTCCCTGCTTGGTGAGGACTCATTCACAGCTTGCCCAGGGCCCTCTGAAAACCAACTAGGCTGTAAACGTCTGTTCAAAGTTTAACTGAGTTCTCCCAGAGATCACTATGCCAGCTGCTGGCTCTGCTAGTACCCCAATAAAGGGCTCTGATGTCACTTAGACCTGTAGTCATGACCGGGACATCACAGAGGGCTTAGAGCCCACTGTTGGGGAATCCAGTGAAGGGCTGGGGATGAACCCCAAACTGTAGCCTTGGGATAAAAACAGCCATCTCCTGAGGTAGGAGGGGCTAAGGTCTCACAGACTGGATCCTTAAGGCTGGGGAAGTGACGTAGCAGCCACTCTGTCTCTTAGGACTGCCCGGAAGTTCGCATGAGGGAGCAGAGGGTTTGCCTCACCGTTGGAGGTTGCAGAGAGGGAGGTAAGGCTGCTTGAGGGGTGAGGGTAGTGGGAAGGGGGGTGTCAGTGAAAAGGGGTTAAACTCAAGAGAAACTTGGGTAGGCGGGGACATCAAAGGCCGGTTCTCTGAGATGGCCGTGGCTTGTTCACTGACAGAGGAAAAGGACATGGAGGCATGGGGTTTGGGTATCTAAACAGGATCAACAAGGGGAAGGGGAGGACCTAGGGCCTGTGAAATAGCCAGGCCAGTTTCTGGTTTAGCAACCCTCCACTCCTAAAGCACTCATGTTACTTTGGGGCTTGGTTTTCAATCTTTCTGGAGGGTCAACACTTTAGATGGTCACATCTTTGTACAAAGGAACGAGCTCAATCCCCAGATAACTAACTACCAGCATCCCATTCTGTTTCTTGGGATCTCCCAAGGCCAATGTTATCTGATTCCAAGGACCCTTCCCAGCGAGGCCCTTTACCCCACCCCCACCATTCAGTACATTGGGAAAAGCCACTCCTCTGCCCACACCTGGCCATTTGGCCCACGATATGTGAATAGCTAAGGATAGGCACCTGGGAATTGGCTCGGGGAATGAAAGCTGAAGGGTCTTAGCATGTAAGCAAACCCTAAAGTTTACCAAACTTTGAGTCCAAGGTGGGGTAGCCTTAAAATTCAAATGGACATGGCTCCTGGTGGTTTCTGGGGTGTGGGGAGTTTTGTCTCCAGGTAGGAAAGCTTCGTTGTGTCCTGGCACCCCTGAGGGGCTTTGGGTGTTTGCCCAGAACCCACATGGCTACTGTTTCTGTGGTGGGGCAGACGTCTCCTCCACACGCAGTCCCTTCCCCAGCCCGGGCTGTCTAGTAAGTACGTTGGCCTCTGGAGGTCCTCAAGCCAAGCGGGGAGTGCAGTGGTTTGACTAAGAATGGCCCTCATAGGCTCAGGTCTTTGAATGTTTGGGGCCCAGTTAGTAGACTATTTAAGAAGGATTTGGAGGCACGGCCTTGTTGGAGGAGGAGGCGTGGCCTTGTTGGAGGAGGAGGCGTGGCCTTGTTGGAGGAGGAGGCGTGGCCTTGCTGGAGGAGGTGTGTCAGTGGCTTTGATTTTTCAAAAGCTCACACAAGGCCCAGTCTCTCCTCTCTGCCTCCCCTGCCTTTGTATCAAAATGTAAAGCTCCCGGCTATTGCTCCAGTGCCGTCCCTGCGTGAAGCCAGCACCGTTCCGTGATGGTCCTGGATGAACTAACTCTCGGAACCTGTAAGCAAGCCCCCAATCAAATGCTTCCTTCTATATGCTGCCTTGGTCATGTTGTCTCTTCACAGCCATAGAACAGACAGGAGAAACGGGGTACCGACTGCGGTGTGGGACTAGGTGTAGGAATCGGCTGTAGAAGACTTGGTGCATGCAGGAGCAGGAGGCCCTGGTTCCATCTTAATTACTGGAAATTTGCAGCAGCACAAACCCAGTCTGCCGCTGATATCCTAGAGGCTGCTTGGGCAGGAGGCTGGAGCTGAGAGGCTCCGCTGGGTCTTACCGCCGTTCCATCTTCGGTCTGCTTTTCTCTCTTCTTTCCTGGCTAGCCACCTGCTTCTGTTTCTGCTCCCATTGCATACTGAGCACCCTACTTTTGATTTCATTTCCTTTCCTTCTGTAGATAACAGGTACTTAGTTCAAGAAGACTAGCCCCAACACAAGGTACATGAACCAGTACAAAGTCTCCACAGTTTCAAATCATTGAGGGATGATTTCTCAATGGGCGGGGCTTGATAGGTAGGCTGTTTACAGGCCCCTGTTTCCTGAGTGCATCCTCAGCTTCTGCCAAGCGTAGTCAATGAAGGAAGTGCTTTCAAGGACTGCCTCAGAAAAGGGGCACCTAGAGTGTTAAAAACCACCTACTCCTGCAGGGTCAGGAGAACCAGAGGGGGTTAGGCTTGAGTTAAACCGCTGCATTCTGAGTTCCTGACATGGTTCTCCTTCTGGTTTTGCTTGCTATGGTTAAGAGATGGGTGTGGCAGGCTAGAGAGGTGGCCTAGTGGTTAAGAGCATTGACTGCTCTTCCAGAGGACCCAGGTTTAATTCCCAGTAACTACATGGCATCTCTCAGCCATCTATAATGGGATCTGACGGCCTCTTCTGGCATGCAGGCATGCATGCCGATGGGGCATGCATATACATAAATCTTGAAAGGATGGGTGTAACAGATGCAGGGGTTACTTGTTGCAGAACCTTGTGGTTGTGGGGCAGTTGTGTTAAGGAAGATAGCCACAAATAAACTGGTGTTTTGTTTTGTTTTTCTTGTTGTTGTCAAACAATGGGCCAGTGTCTGAAACCTTACTTTCTGAACCTGAAACCTAACTGTCCCATGAGCCTGTTTTATTTGAATGCCACAAGACTCAAGGATAGATCACGGGTAGGTCAGGCATTGTCTCTCCAAAAGACTTCCAGCCTGTTCATCTGGGGACTAGAAGGAGATGTGATGGACATCAGAAGCAAGTCTGTGAGGGGGGACCCACCCTGTCTGTTGGTTATGGCTCATCGTGGGCTAGCTGGCCTGGCTTGTGAAGATCTAGGGAAAGATTCTATGAGGGTCGTTTATGTGACTGAGCCATTTCTGATTGTGCCCTGGTTCTTCCCTCTTGGAATGAGAAAGTGTGTTGTCGTTCTAATGGTTTTTCTGGGGTCTTTGCTAGTGATTTGAATTTCCAATTGGTGGATGGGTCCCAGAAAAAGGCAGATAAATATTGGCCCCTGTGCCCTCTGGCTAATGGGTTGGACCTAACCATCTCTGCTTCTGTCTCAAGCTGCGTGGACTTGAGTGGGTGACCGTGGGCTATAGAATCAGACAAGGCTTCGACAGAGACACCTGTAGTCAACTTGATACACAGAGCTTCCGGTGCCTCTTGGAGCATGCACGGATTACCTAGAAAGCAGCTCTTGGGGCCAAATCAAGGGTTTTTGAGGACTTGGTGGCACCAA